TGCATGCTGGGCATCAACATACTACAGAACTCATTCATGACTCCCAGCATGCACTGCAGTTGATCGGTTTATCTGAATTAGTTTGAGGATTGTCACCGTTGTTGAGTTTGTATGATGAGTGTTGATGTCTAAATATTTCTGTATACTTTGCATTTGTGAAACAGAACATTTAGATCAGTAATGAAAGATCAGCTTCAACATTTTTAGCATTATTTCTCAACTATTACAGTTTGACACCATCACAAAAAAATATTGTACTCCTACTTAACTTTAAAACATCTCTTTCTTTATTAAACGCATAAGTGTTTATATTGAAACACTATTGTAAGCACTGAAAGAGAATTAACTTAATGAAAAGCAAGAGTCAAGAGCCCAACTAAAGCAAACACTGATCACAATAATGGTGGTTTGTTGAAATTTCTACATTTATCCAACAGTAATTGCGGGTGCAAAAGTTATATTAATTCAATGCCATTATCATTGACAAGTCAACTATTTTTAACATGGATTCAATGGTTTTCACCTGCTCTCTTGCTCTTGAGCGGACAGACGGACGCTCGTCGGAGTGCTGCAGGTTTTTGGAAATGTAAGCTGTTCTTGCAGCTTGCTGTTCTCAATTAAAGGATTGGATGATGACTGGTGATCTTTTATATGTTAATGCAATTAATTAGGAGTCGTTTACAAGGCAGAGAGCTGAAACCATTCAATTATGCGCAAATTCAAGATCATTGGCGATTCATATATTTCGCATCTGAAAGAGGTGTACGTGCGTTTTCTGTGAATACGTTCATTCTATGAATCAAGATGATCGCAAGATCAAATTTAGGATGGTTTCTGCGCAAGATTTTATAAAATGAGGCCCCTGATGCCTGATTTGGTAGTTGAACCGAACCAGACAGTTATGGATGAACACAGGACAGACTCAATGATGGCGGAGTAGAACTGTTTCAGCAGCTCCTGTGGCAGGTTGAACTTCCTCAGCTGGCGAAGGAAGTACAACCTCTGCTGGGCCTTTTTCACAATGGAGTCAATGTGAGTGTCCCACTTCAGGTCCTGAGAGATTGTGGTGCCCAGGAACCTGAATGACTCCACTGCAGTCACAGTGCTGTCCATGATGGTGAGTGGGGGGAGTGCAGGGGGGTTTCTCCTGAAGTCCACGGTCATCTCCACTGTTTTGAGCGTGTTGAGCTCCAGGTTGTTAAGACTGCACCAGACAGCCAACTCTTTATCCTCACTTCTATATGCAGACTCATCACGGTCCTGAATGAGAACGATGAGTGTGGTGTCGTCAGCAAACTTCAGGAGCTTGACAGAGGGGTCTTTAGAGGTGCAGGCATTGGTATACAGGTAGAAGAGACCAGTTTGCTCGGTAAGCAAACTGAAGAGGATCCAGCAAAGGTCCAGTGATATCCTTCAGGTAGGCCAGGACCAGTCTCTTAAATGACTAGACCACAGACGTGAGAGTGACAGGTCTGTAGTCGTTATGAAGTCCAGTTATGTTGGGTTTTTTTGGGAACCGGAATGATGGTGGAGCTTTTGAAGCAGCAGGGAACTTTGCACAGCTCCAGTGATCTGTTGAAGATCTGTGTGAAGATGGGGGCCAGTTGGTCAGCACAGGATTTCAGACAGGCAGGTGAAACACAGTCTGGGCCTGAAGCTTTCCTAGTCTGTCGTCTGAAGACCTGGTTCACATCCTCTACACAGACCGTAAGCACAGGTTGAATGGTTGGTAGTTCTTTTTAGCTACTCTGATCTCCTTCGTTGGCCTGTTCCTTGCCTTGTTGTACAAGATTTTATCCCCACTTCTGTAAGCATCCTTTGGCGTGATGAAGATGTTTTGAGTTTCCCAGTAAACCACGGTTTATCATTAGATAAGAATGTCCTGGTAGGAATGCACATATCTTCACAGAATCTGATAGATGAAGTTACAGTCTCTGGGAGCTCGTCCAGATCGGTGGCAGCGGCTTCAAAAACACTCCAATCAGTGCAGTCCTTCATTAGTCCATCTTTTTACAGTCCTTAATACAGGTTTAGCTGATTTTGGTTTCTGCTTGTAGGTCGGTATAAGATGAACCAAACAGTGATCAGAGAGCCCCAAAGCTGCTCATGGGACGGAGTGATATGCATCCTTTATTGTGGTGTAACAGTGATCCAATATATTACTGTCTCTAGACCCAGATAGCAACATAGTGTCGGCCCAGATGCGGCTCACATCCGGCACATGTGGAAAGATGATCTGGCCAAACATGTAGCGTGGAAAGATGGCACTTGGGCGGACCAAGGACGACTCCCCTGTGGTTGATGATTTCACCATTTGGTGTCAGAACGCTTTTGCGCTCAAGGAGATGACTTGACTTTAACTCTATTCAGTATAAGCAAGCAAGCATTAATGGAGTGGGTATTGAGAGTGTTGAACAGTATAAGTATTTGTGTACAGTCTAGGATAATAAATGGCCCGTTTCACCAAATACTAATGTTTTGTGTAAGAGGGATATTTTAGTTGAGAAGCCCATTAATGACTTTGGGTTGTATTTTAGTCTCATAGGGTGGATTTTAGATTTTCTTGCGCAGAGAACACAGAGTTAAAGTGAATGCCTGTTTTTCTGAATGGCTGCGGTCATCTACTGGGGCACCTCAAGGATGTGTCCTCTCTCCTTTGTTATTTATCTTGTACACAAACGACTGTAAGAGTAGTTTTAGAAATGGGCATATTATAAAATTTGCTGATGATTCTTTAACAGTTAGCCTATTGAGTGAGGACGACTCCCCTGTGGTTGATGATTTCACCATTTGGTGTCAGAACGCTTTTGCGCTCAAGGAGATGACTTGACTTTAACTATTCAGTATAAGCAAGCAAGCATTAATGGAGTGGGTATTGAGAGTGTTGAACAGTATAAGTATTTGTGTACGGTCTAGGATAATAAATGGCCCGTTTCACCAAATACTAATGTTTTGTGTAAGAGGGGGCAGCAAAGATTGTACTGTTTGTGGAAACTAGGGTCATTTAATGTAGATGCCTATGGCCCAGTTATATCAAAGACGGGTTCTGGGTAAAGCCCAGAGCATTTTGTTCGATGATTCCCACCCTGTGTATCATGAGTTTCACCTTCTCCCTTCGGTATAGAACCCCAATTAGTAAAATAAATTTTTATTTTTCATTCATCCCCTCTACTGTAAAGTTTTTAAATTTCAGGTAAAGCTTTTTAGGATGGAAATGGAGTGCGTTTTTTTGTATTGTGTGTTTTGTTGTCCTATGTGATATGCTTGTATGTTGCAACGAAATTGCGAAATAAATGAAGATGAACTGAAGTCGAAGTTTACCCAACTATGACGACTTCCGCTGCTGAGAAACCCAGACATGTGAAAAAAAAGGTCTATTTCTCTTGTATACTCACTCAATCTCTTTAATGGATGTGCTGTGTTTCCTGGTGAATAGGCCTTTATTGGCAACTTTCCACCAGACAAAATTACGGGTGCTCATCAGTCCCTGTAACATCAAAACAGGATGTAACGATAAATATGATTCAAATTAATGCTGACAAACAAACAAACAAAAAAAAAAGACTTCATAGCAGCCAACATAAAATTATCAAATTGCCAAATACTGGTAAAGACGAATAAAACTTCTATTTTAATCTCTTTAACTTTAGCTCATTAAATTGGTTAACAAGTGTCTACAGTGAATTAATGTCAATGCAGGTCACCTTGTCTACAGTCTAGTTAGGCTAAAAATATATATATATATATTATTTGCATCCAACTCACAAATGATTCTATTCAAATTTACATTGTTCGGACCATCAACAAGCGAGTCATTATTCCAGAGAATAGTAAAGCAATTTAACCACCAATTAAACCATTTAAGGATGTTTTTTTTTTTTTTTTTTAAATACTTACTTAAAATGTTGTCTGTCTTTTTTTAATATAAAGAGAAGGACTTCTCTCCAGTGGCTCCTGGGATAGTAGTGTCCAGTGGATACACTCGAGAATCACTGGTAGTAGTGGGTCATCTGGGCACTTTCCGCCAAATGTTTTCTAATACTACGGCTCCTACAACTCCTAATTTTTACCATAACTTCATATGGCAGAAAAAGTAAGGTTAGTATGTGGTTTCAAATTCACCCGTGTAAAGTTCAATATGGCTGCAGAATTTGCATTAAAAGTTTTGAGAATCCCTTGAAAGGAAACCCAGTGATGAAACGGTCTGATTATTGATCAGAATTTTAAAATTGAGAGATTAATCAAATGCATTCTAATATTAATATAATTTGTCTGGACTAAAAAAAAATAAAAAAATAAAATAGTAGTATCTGAAGCTAGCGCACAACACTAAGTGATGCTCACAAATATACAGAAGAACGGTTAATATAACCACATTAAATAGAACGATAACTATAAAGACAACGATAAAGATATAGTTCTAAAAATCGTTCTCAATATTAAAGAATAGCAGACTCCACACCACAGCTATAACGATAAAGGCACAGAGAAACCATATCGTTGGAATCACTTCCAGAACTATTTTTTCCAGCTGATGGACGATAAAAACATTGACAGCCAATCAGAATCCATCCTGCTGTAACGAGCTGGAGAATTGAAAGCGGCAGACGAGTGTGTGCTTAGAATAAACAGACGATATTATCGCTAATATCGTTATAGCTTTATTCAGTTTAAGCTCTCAGCGATGAAAAAGATCAGTGGAGTTCACGACATCAAGTCTTTGAAAAGACATGAGACTCAAACTGACTACAGCTTATTCTGCTTCGTTTCCCGAGTTCTGGCCATGAGACGTGCTTATTTTGCATTTACTGCTCATTTCTTCAACTCTTCAGTCATTATAAATGATTTCATCGCCAGAAAAAGGAAAATAAGAGAAAATTATATTAATATATAAATCTATTTTGTAGGTTTGGCCCTCCATAAAGTAAATGCATTTAAAAAGAAGAAAAAAAAAACTCCTTGATTCTACAATTACTTTAAAACCCACCATCAGAAGCTTCTTAAAAATCTTTCAGATCAGATCACCAACAGAGAAGCAGCAGTGTGACACATCTGAATATTTATTTGAGTAGGTACAGAGCCTGTAGTCTATGTCCAACAGGATAGGTATACCATCTAGTTTTTTCTTCTTTTGAAACTACATATTTGCAAACAAGGAATGCTGTTGGGGAGGGTGGGCTGTAAATAAAACAAACGGTGGAGAATTGCTTGTCGGTCAGGAACGGTGAGGGGCATAAATGGGCAGAAAAAGAAAAGAAAAAAAAAAAAAAAAGAGTCACAAACATTACAGTAGGTACTTTTAAAAAAAATAAAGGGAAAAAAAACCGCTTACACTTACAAAACTAAAACCCACTAAAATGAACTATGCCGCAGTTTAGCACATGCTATAGATATGTCTGAAACCTCTCACACATAAAACACCTCCCCACATGATCGCGCACGGCTCAAAGCCATCGGATTTATTCCCGAGAACAGAGAAGGGGGAAACTCATCATGAAAGCAGAGTGGTTAAAGTACAATAGCCCGGGGTCTGTGCAAAGGTACAACAGTGCACAATGTGTATTACATGTATTTACACCAGCACTGAAAAACAAAAGCTGAAACGGGGGGGGGGAAGCAAAACACACACTGGGACTCACGGCCCCAACGACCTCCTCGACGCAACACCCAAAGCTCAGTCCAGTGTCATCAACACTAAATAACAGTTCAAAGAAAAGGGAGAATTAAAGTCATGACATTGTCTTCTTTAGATCACTGATGTCCAGTCGTTCCACTGAAGGTGATTTATTTTAATTATTAATTTAGCCTCCTCTTCCAGGCTATTCCACAATTTCCCGTTGAATTGGTCACCTTCCACACGATGTCGACTCGCTGCGTTCGTTGCATTCAGTCCTGCGTTTCTCCAGTCAGTCGAGCACACACACACACACACACACACACACGTGTCACGTCCATTCAGTTGCGCACACGCAGCACAAAGACTGCGGCGTGAAGGGAGAGGGCTCTGGCCTGCTGGGTTCGTTCTCCAGCACGTCAGATGAACGCGGGCCCTCAGCTCAGGGACCACTCACTCACTCACACACCTCAGAAGTGTGTTCGCGTCTCTTTGTTGTTGGCGTTGGTGGTGAGGTTCTCCTTTAGCGTTCTTACCTCAGATTATTCACGTGAGACGTCTTCGTTATTCCCATTGGTTCGGTTTGGTTTTGTTGAAAAGACACGCGTTCGGTTTTGATGGTCGTGTTTTGAAACGTAGTAGTCAGCCACTCACTCTCACTCGCATCCACTCAAAGCCGTCTCAAACGCCGTCTGGACGCTTCCTTCAGAAGGAGCTCCACTCAATTTCTCTCAGATTAGATGCAGCTGGATCCCATCAGCCAAGCACAACGGATCTAATATTTCTCACACTCTCTCGCGCTCTCTCTCGCTCTCTAATTATTTTTAATGTTGAACAGAGTGCTGCATCACAAACAAAACTCCAGATTTCCCCGTGGCGTCTAGAACTGGAACCCTTCTGCTGGCACGTTGGTAGAAGAGTTGAAGCTGTACGTTCCTCCTTGGATCGCTTCGGGAACCAGGTTAGAGTCCTCGTCAATCTGAAAGAAAGGAAAGAATCATCGAGAGCTGCATCTTAACTATTAACAAGTGAATCACTTGCAGCATCGCTGAAGAGGTAATAAAAACTACACATTTACATTAACAGATATATACTTGTTCTCCTCATTACTGCTCTGCGGCAAAACAAACTTACATCATCAGATGAGAAGAACTGATCGATTATTTCATAAGCCAGTTTGTAGATGTCCTCATTCTCATGGTTCTGCAGCTGCTCGATTTTCTCCAAACCTGAGCAAATAAACGATTAAAAAAAAAATCAACCTCAAAAACACTTGCCACAGTAAGACATTAAAACAAGGCCTGAGACTTTAGGAGTTAATGTTTAAGTATTATTGTTATTTTTTCCCTGTGGTATCGAGTACTTTTAGTGGTATCGATACAGACTACTAGATTTTTGGTATCGTGACAGCCCTAGTTGGGTCTTTATTTCCAAAAAATAAAAAAGGAAGATGATTGTGATCTTCATTTGAAGGATCTTGACACAGATTCATAATTCTCCAGATATATTCTCAATTTTGTCGCATGCCTTTCAAATTGATGCACAAGTTTAAAAAGGTCACTAAACATCTGTAGTTTAAAGGGATATATTTCAACACTGAAATAGAATTCAATAACAATGCCATCGTTAGAAAGCAGAATTACCTGACAATAAGAAATCAAACTTTAACAGTTGGTGCTGTGTTCATTTTAACCAGTGATTTAGTAATGTACCAAGTGAGCGGGTTTTCTGTTTAGTTAACAGCATTAATTGAAAGAAATGTTTAATTTTTTTTACTTTCTCTCTCTGGATACATACACTGAATTTCTTCAATCATTTAGTCCTCTAACTTCGCCACTTTCATCAATTGACCTTAAGCGGACACTCAGAACTGCCTCCATCCATTCAACAACTGATGGATCAAACAAAGTCCCACTTTTATTTATTTTCAAAAATGCGTTTCACTTTTGTGTCACCACACAGATAAAATATTGTGACTAAAAAAAACCTGACATGTACCTGATATGTTCACATGAAGGGAGCAGACATCTAGCGAGTTTAAAGTGTGGTATGTAGTTCTCAAGTCAAGTTAGATTACAGTTCATCACTGCATGTGTCTACTAAAGCAGTGTTTCTCATCCCTGCTCATGCAGCACACCAGCTCTCATTTTATATGTCTCCCTGGAGCACAGAAGCAGTGTTAAGTCGCTGGGGTATATTTGTAGCAATAGCCAACAATACATTGTATGGGTCACAATTATACATTTCTCTTTTATGCCAAAAATCATTAGGATATTAAGTAAAGATCATGTTCCATGAAGATATTTAGTAAATTTCCTACCGTAAATATATCAAAACTTAATTATTGATTAGTAATATGCATTGCTAAGAACTTAATTTGAACAACTTTAAAGATGATTTTCTCAATATTTAGATTTTTTTGGCTCCCTCAGATTCCAGATTTTCAAATAGTTGCATCTCAGCCAAATATTGTCCTATCCTAACAAACCATACATCAATGGAAAGATTATTCATCCAGCTTTCAAATTATGTACAAATCTCACTTAAGACTGGTTTTGTGGTCCAGGGTCACATATGTCTCGCCTATCAAACACACTTGATTGGCTGGCGTCCTCCAACACAAGCACACGCTCTGCTCACCTCCACACTCCTCGATCAGGTTGGCGATAGTCTCGGCTTCGTCATCAGCCATCTTGAGGATATTACTGAGCCCGTCCAGAACCACCTGCACCACCTGAGCGTCTTTGACGGTCAGCAGGTTACAGAAGGGAGGAACCACCTGCTGCTGGATCAGGTACGCCACCTACAGGACGAGACCACAACATCTGAACACCGCCCCTCTTTTTCATGCATAAGCATGTGTATATGAGTGAATAACACACCTGATCCTTTCTGCCGCTGATGGTCAGGTTGCTGATGGCCCACGCCGCCTCCTTCTGAGTGCCAAAATCTCCCTGAGAGACACAGCACCAACATTTACATGTCAATACCAGCGGTCATTCACCATTCTCTACCAGCACAGCAAAACTAAACTGCTACCGGTATACACACTACCAGGCAAACGCTTTTGAACAGTAAGATCTTTAAGTCTCTTCTGCTCACCAAGCCTGCATTTATTTGATTAAAAATACAGCAAAAGCAGTAAAATTGTGAAATATTTTTACTATTTAAAACAGCTGTTTTCTATGTGAATACCTGTTAAACTGTAATGTATTTCTGTGATGCGCAGCTGTATTTTCAGCATCATTCCTCCAGTCTTCAGTGTCACATGATCTTCAGAAATCAGTATAATATGTAATATTAGATAATAATAATAATAATAATAATAATAATATTTAAAACAGTTCAGTACATTTTTTTCAGGATTCTTTGAACCGAAAGATGCAGCATTATACACTATACCCATTCAAAAATAGTAAAAGTGCAAGAACAACATAATGACGAAACACGATCTGTAGAGCAGTTTGTACGTTTATGGCTACTGTAGAAACAGCGTAAAGGCACCTGCGGTGTATGTAGGTAGAAACTGCTCATTCTAAGATAAAAACATCATTGTGTAAGGTATTTATACACCTCTGAAAACATAGTTGTGTGTATTATATTGCATTTACACGCCGCATCTTTAAATTTGCCCGAGGCAAAACAATTTGTTAGAGACGGAGGGGTGAAATGTGAGCTGAGGATGCTGTGAGGTTCACACGGGCACTTGTTACCTTGTTGATCTTCTCTTTGGGGTGTGTGAGGAGAGCTGGGAAGTGACCCAGAGCGTCACAGTTGAGCACCACCTGAGTCTGTTCATCCGTGCCCGTCACAATATTCCCCACCGCTCGCAGAGCTGCCGTCTACATTCATTACAAAACATGCAAACCATTACAACATTTAAATGAGTGCAAAAACAGTTTGGAGCAGGTCTCTGAAGTGACCTCGATACAACATGCTCTTCCGCACCTGAACTTTGACCTCCTGGTGGCTCAGTAAGGGGACGAGGTACGGTACAATCCCTGAATCGATGACCATCTGGATCTGCTCATTGCCAGCATCAGTGAGATAAGACAGCGCCCAGACCGTGTCCACCAGGATCTGCACAGAACCGAGTTAAACCCATCTGATGCCGGAGCGGTGCATTTACACACAAAGAGCAACAGCAGCACTTACATTGACATCAGTGTGGTGGATGAGCACGCACAGTGCAGGAAGAATCTGTACAAAGAAACACACAAGATCATCACCAGGAACAAACAGAGCCGCTTACACCTGCTATTAGCAGGAATTTCTAGCAACCGATGAGAGGAGAGTCAGCAGCAAATCACTGCATGAGGAATACTGCAGACAGTCTGCAACACGGAGCAGGGCTGCACAATTACAACTGATCAAAAAAATAATAAAAGATGCCGTAATTAATCTTGAAGTTTTGCAGCACTGAGTACTAAAAGTAACCGCAAACATGTATATTAAATGCACGAGTGCAATGACCAACCAGAGTTACTTATATTAGTCCAAAAGCCTGATTGATATTGAACTGAGTAGTACTCTTGTATTACGCCCATGTGTTCTTCATAAATACATGTTTATAAAAAAATAAAAAACAAATAACTGGGCAGTGTAGACCAGGGATGGAAATTAAAGTAGGATGGCAACAAAATACCACCAAAACAGGATGCCTATCAGGACGAATATCAGAACTAGGGATGTCAATTTTCGATTATTTCCATGATTGATCGTCATTTAAATTAAGGGTCAATTAATCCTTAACCTAAATACTGCAAAATGCGTCTATTGCAGTGGCATATATTCACCAGCATGTGCAAATGTCACAAAACGCAGGCTTCCTCACCCGAATTAAAGGGGGTTTTAGTCTAAATAAAGGCTAGTAGCAGGACTGTAAAACGAATGGATGTGATTACGATCATTCGATAAAATGAAGAGCGCGCCGTAGTTACGTTTGGGATCATTTTACTTTGTTGGCTGCTTCAGGAGACTGCTGAACGCGCCTCTTTAAATGGTTGATATTGTGCTCGTTGTTGTATTTTAAAACACCATTGCAACGTTTGCAAGTGACATTATTGGCATTTAAAATAAAATGATGCCGAATGTAACTGCGGCGCGTGTTTCTGGTCAGAGAACCGCTTCCACCGGCGGTGCTGCGGCAAAACACTGCTGCTCGCATGAAACATTTTAATGTGAGTATGACACAAGTGAGGTACAAAGCTTAGTTTATAAGAGAAACAGGCCTAGTGGGTTAGCAGGCAAATGTTACATCGCTCTTGCATTCATGCTAGGCTTGCTGCGATAGACAGTGTTTTCGGTTATACCAGTGTTAAGCCGCAACACCGGTTACGTCATTTGCCTACCGCAGCACCGCCTCCTGCCGTCGTTTAGATGTTTTTATAGTAGCAAAAATCATTTAGCCTAGTTCAGTTAGAGGACAGACA